GGGCGTGGCCTCTCGCGCGTCTCTGGACACAGCGGTTCCCCTTGACCTTTCTCCGGAGAAGGGTGGGTGCAGCTGGGGGCTATTAGCAGCCGACACCCCCAGCAGCTGCGGAATGGTGCACCTGCCTGATAAAGGGGACTTGAGTCAGGGAGAGAGGCAGCAGTAGGGTCCCTTGTGGAGACAAAGGGGTCCCTGGACAGGAGACGGAACTCAAAGCTGGGGACGGGGCTGGGGGATGCAGGGGAGGGGGGGGTGGTCTCATCGTCCGCTGTCCCAGGGCTCTCCCTCAGGCACAGAGTAAAAACCAAAGTCCTAACCACCGCCCAGAAGACCCTCCAGGATCCGATGCCCTGTTCCCCTCCCCCCCCACACACACACACTCTCGCCTCTCTGTCCGCCTTCTAGCGGTTCTTCCGCCATTCTCTCCCTCGCCCGCTCCCCTGCAGCCGTACTGGCCTCCTCACAGGTTCCCACCTCAGGACCTTTGCACATGCTCTCCCCTCTGCTCTTCCCCCCACGTGCCCCACATGACTCGTTCCTTCATTTCCTTCAGGCCTCAGCTCCGGTTTTCCCCTTTCCGAGAGGCCTTCTTGGACCATCCTGCCTCAACCTACCGACAGAGTAAGAGACCCGAGAGACCCCTTTCACAACCGAATGCGACGTGAACACTTTGGCCCCTGATTCCAACAAACCCACGCCAACAAGACAGCTTTGAGACCGTCTTGGAAAAGCTGAATACAGACTGAGCAGCGGATCGCATTAAGCAGTAACTTGTTAATGGCGATGGACCTGTGAAGGGTATCATGCTTGCATTAAAACATTTTTTTCCTTATCTATTAGGGGCCATGCTGATATACTTTATAAGTCAAACCATATGATGCCTGGGATTGCTTTGGCAGACTCCAGCGGAACAAACTAGCCCCCCACCTCTTGCGAGGCATTCTCTCTCCTTTTCTCCCGCCTCATCTTTCCTCACACCATCCATCACCGTCTGACGTGTCATATATTTTTCTAATTTCTTTTTTGTAATGTTTATTTTTCCTTTTGAGAGAGAGAGAAACGGAGTACAGGCAGGGGAGGGGCAGCAGGCGAGAGAGAGCCGGCCCCAGGCTCTGGGCCGTCTGCCCAGAGCCCGATGCGGGACTCGAACCCTAGAACCGTGAGATCACGACCTGAGCCGAAGTTAGACGCTTACTCACCTGAGCCACACAGGCGCCCCTGACACGTCATATTTTTATTTGGGGATTTGTTATTGTCTGTCCGTCTCCATTAGAATGTAAGCGCTACGAGGCCAGGGCTTTTGCTGCATTCCCATCACCTGTAAAAACGCCCAACACAGAGTAGGTGCTTAATAAATATTTGCTAAGCGAATTATTGAGTGACTAAATGAATGGCGGGTGAACGGATGGATCCATTGGCTTTTCTTCCCACACGCTCCCTGTGTTCGGATCTCCCCTGTCAGTCATCTTCCCAGACGGTCACCAAGCCTGGTGGGCCCCTCGCCACGCCAAGTCAATCACTAGGTCGTGTCGGTCCCACTCGACACATTCCATATTTCCCCAAACTCATCACCTCTTCTCCAAGCAAACCACACGGCCAGACCACACGGTCAAAGCCGTGGGGGCCCGGCCCAGCGTCACCCGGCCAAGCAGAGGTGAGTCTGGGGTTGGGCATCTGAGCATCTAACCCCAGCACGGACTTCAGCCCAGTCGGGGCACCTCCCACGCCCTCATCCACCGTCACCCAATCACCCGTCCCTTCGTTCCTCGTCATGGTGAAAACTGCAAATTGCCCTTTGGTCCCACTTCTCCTCTTTGGAAGTCGAACCCTGAGCTTCAGCCTGGAGAGTGCCTCCCTAGCTACAGACTACATTTCCCATGTTCCTGTGCAGCCAGGTGACCCATGTGATTAAGTCTTGGCCGAAGGGCCACCAGCGGGCGCAAAGGGTGTCACATCCAGGTGAAGCCCTTGAAAAGGAAACGTCTTGCCCTCTGCTTTCTCTTTTCCCCACGGCAGCCTCGGTTATTACGGACCAATGTCGAGCATGTGGACAAGGACAATATTTTCAGCGGCGGTGAAACAACAGGACAGAAGGAACTTGGGTCCCTCTATAACCTCGTGGCACAGAGCCGCCTCCCTTCTCTGAACTAACACCGTAGCGTGGGGTCTCTTCGTTCTACCAACTTAACCTGTACCCGTACACGTTTAGTCCGTGTGCCAAAGACGTCTTGTCATCCCTCAATATCCATTTATTCTTCTTTGTCTATAGCAGAACCTTTGGTCTTAGCTGGGCATATGGCTGTCTGGAATAAAGACTACATTTCCCAGCCTCCCTTGCAGCTAGCTGTGCCATGGGACTAAGTTCTGACGGATGGGCTATGAGTAGAAAACAGTGTGCCTTAATTACAGGGAGCGTCCCTAAAGAGAAGAAATGTGCTTCTCCTCATCCTCTCTGCCTTCCTACTGCCTGGAATGAGGATGTAATGGCCGGCCCCCCAGCATCCATCTGGGACTGTGAGGTGACCACGGGAACGGGATCCATTCACAGCTGAACCAAAAGCAAAGGGTCTCTGTCACCACTGAGACACTACACCAGCCCTTTTAAGTGAAAGAGAAATAAACTATTTTGGTTAAGCCGCTTATTTCTGTGTTTTCTGAATTGCGACGCGGAACCTAATCCTAACTGATACACTCGCGTGCGTTTATTCATTCTGAAATGAACCAGCAACAACGAAAGAATGGAACTGAGTGTGTGATTCCAGGTTGGATCCTCCGTACCCTTCTGCACGGGACGCCGAATGGCCAGTCTGCCCCAGAAAGGCCCAGAGGAGCCGGACTTTGAGATTAGGAATAAGTGGGGTCTACATCCTCGTGAGAACAGGCGCCCTACGAGAGCTCTGTGAAGGCCCAGGTGTCCTGGAGGGAGTGGCCGCCCCTCTCCGGGCCTCGCCAACCTCCTGGTTCCCCCGGCAGCTAACAGTCCTGCCGGGCCTTCCAGGAAAGGTGGGCATGAGGCTCTAAGTCAGAGTGATGCTGGCCGCAGGCCCCGGGGGTGTATGGAAAATTAGGCAACCGTCTTCTTACAGGCTGGCGGCGTCTCTGGGTTCCACCAGCCCCGACACCACTCACACCGGCTACTTCCAAAAGAGACTCCTACCCTCTGATTTAAAACACCCTCCCAGCCTCAACAAACACTGCCCCCCAACGTCATCAATATCACAGTGGGTTAGGCTTTGCTCTTCCCGTAAAGGCAGGCGGGATGAACCCCCACGCCCAGGAGGAAGAATGAAAAGTGCACCCAAAGACAGGTGGAGAATGAAAGGCAAACTGCCCAGACTGGCCTCATTTTTGCCGAGGGCCAACCGCAGGTCGGGCTCAAACCCAGGCAGCTCGAAGCAAGTGAGTGCAACTCGTGAGATGTGTGCTGACTGTGTAGGCCATCAGTCATGGCCCTTTGTGTCCCAAGTGACAGACATTGCAGGCTATAAAGGGGAATGCACTGGCTTGCATAAATGAACAGTCCATGGATGGCTCCCAGTTCCCTCCTAAAGTCCTGACCAGACACTCTGACTGGACAGCGTGGCTCCTGGGCCCAACGGGAACCAATCACTGTGGCCAGGGGACAAACAAGCCTCCAACTGGCTCAGGCTGGAGTCACGGGCTCCTCTGGACTCAGAGCAGTCACTTTCCTGCGGGACTTATCAGAGACTTTCCATGAAGATGTGGGCAAAGACACGTGGTGTTTCCTAAATTGCTTTGAATCTGGCTGAACGATCACCAGATCTGTTGTACCGGGACTGTGGTTAGATGGGCTTGAGCAGCGGCTGCCTCCCTGAGACAGAGCACAAGTTCTCAGTTTGCTCCAATCCCCACCATTCCCTAATGTGTAGCCCCCAGCCCACCTCCCTGTAGACACTGAAGTTTGAAATCTGCTTGTGGTTGGATAAGTCCCAAATGCAAAGATGTGAAGCACACTATGAGAGAAATCAAATAGCCTTCCAACATTTTTTTAATGTTTATTTTTGAGAGAGAGAGAGAGAGAGAGAGCGTGAGTGGGGCGGGGGCAGAGAGAGGGGGAGACACAGAATCTGAAGCAGGCTCCAGGCTCCAAGCTGTCGGCGCAAAGCCCGACGCGGGGCTCAAACTCACGGACCGCGAGATCATGACCTGAGCCGAAGTCGGCCGCTCAACAACCCACTGAGCCACCCAGGTGGCCCTCAAATAGCCTTCAACTAACGGCAACACTCCCTCATAAATACCTGAGTGTGTGCCCTCGCCCACATGCACACACACGTGTACCCAAACACGCAGGGGCACACACAAGCGCACACAGACGACCTGGGACACAAAGCCAGCCTGAGCCGTCACGTCCCCAGCACGGGGGTCAGGTCTTGCCCTGCAGGTGCTGGGGCATGTGCCCCGCCCTGCATGGGCTCCCGCTGGGGCTGGAGGAGGGGGATGTGTGTCTGCATGTATGACTCTGGTCCCCCCCTCCTCACATCCCGCCTCGTCTGGGTTCCAAGCCCCTGTGTCACTCCGGATTAAGGCTGGAACAAAGGACCGGATGGAGGGGAGGCATCGGTAAGCAGGGTGCCTGAGTCAGGCCGGCCAGGGGGCAGAGGAAGCCTCCGAGACTAGAACACACAGGGGGCCCCGGTGGCGGCGGGGAGGCTGCGTGTACGCAGGGCAGGTACGTGCACCTGGCGGCGGCCCCGTTTGCTGCGCTCTCTGCACAGCCCTGGACAAACAAAACACAGAGAAGCTCCCGCTGCCAGGACCCTCCTCCAGGCTCCCCGTCTCCCCCCCCCCGCAGCGGTCCGCGAGGGCACAGACAGATGGTGAGAGTCCCCGTGCCCGGTGCCCGTCCCGCTACACCCCCTCCCTGCGCCTCCACCCTGCCCTTGGCATTCCTGGGGTG